CAATGCAGATAGTGTCTAACTGTTATCTAATTACTGGGCACCACTAGCTACTCAGAATTTTAGTTACAAAACTTAAGTATCATGGTGTTCTTCAATATAGATTAAATTCTGATTGATGAACTAGTGTATGTTTCTACAACTACTTTCCCCAAGTATATTTGTTTATTCTTTTCATAAGTTATTCAGATCCTTTTTCCATTAAATATTAATCACAAGCTCAATTAGCAACAAATAGGCTAAACTGTTTTTTTAAATTATTTATTTATTTTGTTGTCATTAATCTACAATTACATGAAGAATATTATGTTTACTAGGGTCCCCCCTTCACCAAATCCCCCCCACAAACCCCATTACTGTACTGTCCATCAGTGTAGTAAGATGCTGTAGAATCACTACTTGTCTTCTCTGTGTTGCACAGCCCTCCTCGTGCCACCCCATTATACATGCTAATCATAATGCCCCCTTTCTTTTTCCCTACCCTTATCCCTCCCTTCCTTCCCTTTCTCCCAGTCCCTTTCTCTTTGGTAACTGTTAGTCCATTCTTACGTCCTATCATTCTGCTGCTGTTTTGTTACTTCAGTCTTTCTTTGTTCCTATAGTCTTTGGGTTTGAGGTGAGTCTCTTGTAAGCAGCATAGAGATGGGTCTTGCTTTTTTATCCATTCTATTATTCTGTGTCTTTTGATTGGTGCATTCAGTCCATTTACATTTAGGGTGATTATTGAAAGATATGTACTTATTGCCATTGCAGGCTTTAGATTTGTGGTTGCCAAAGGTTCAAGGTTATAGCTTCTTTAGTATCTTACAGTCTAACTTAACTCGCTTATTAAGCTATTTTAAACACTGTCTGGTCATTCTTTATTTTTCTCCCTTCTTATTCCTCCTTCTCCGTTCTTTATATGTTGGGTGTTTTATTCTGTGCTCTTTCATGTTTCCTTTAACTGTTTTTAGTGGGTAGTTGATTTTATTTTTTGCCTTTAGTTAGTATTTGGTTGTTCTGCTTTCTTTGCTATGATTTTACTTTCTCTGGTGACATCTGTTTAGTTTCAGGAGTGCTCCCGTCTAGAACAGTCCCTCTAAAATACCCTGTAGAGGTAGTTTGTGGGAGGCGAATTCCCTCACCTTTTGCTTATCTGGGAATTGTTTAATCCCTCCTTCATATTTAAATAATTGTGCTGGATACAGTATCCTTGGTTCAAGGCCCTTCTGTTTCATTGCATTAAATATATTATGCCATTCTCTTCTAGCCTGTATTGTTTCTGTTGAGAAGTCTGATGATAGCCTGATGGGTTTTCCTTTGTAGGTGACCTTTTTCCTCTCTCTAGCTGCCTTTAAAACTGTCCTTGTCCTTGATCTTTGCCATTTTAATTATTATGTGTCTTGGTGTTGTCCTCCTTGGGTCCTTTCTGTGGGAGCTCTGTACACTTCCATGGTCTGATCGATTATTTCCTCCCCCAATTTGGGGAAGTTTTCAGCAATTATTTCTTCAAATACACTTTCTATCCCTTTTTCTCTCTCTTCTTCTGGTACCCCTATAATGCAGATATTGTTCCTTTTGGATTGGTCACACAGTTCTCTTAATATTGTTTCATTCTTGGAGATCCTTTTATCTCTCTCTGTGGCAGCTTCTATGCGTTCCTGTTCTCTGGTTTCTATTCCATCAATGACCTCTTGCATCTTATCCATTCTGCTTATAAATCCTTCCAGAGATTGTTTCATTTCTGTAATCTCCTTCCAGACATCATCCCTTAGCTCTTGCATATTTCTCTGCAGCTCTATCATCATGGTTATGAGCTTTATTTTTAATTCTTTTTCAGGAAGACTGTTAGGTCTATCTCCTTCTCAGGGTTTGCCTCTGTGATCTTGGTCTGTATCAATTTCTTCTGCTTTTTCATGGCGATAGATATATTTGTGGGGAGCTGGCGTGTGTGTTGGGTAAGAGAAAGTCCCCTCTTGCCAGTTTGTGGCCTTCCTCTCCTGGGAGAACAGTGGCCTCTAGCAGCTTGTGCTGGGCAGCTGCGTGCAGACGGGGCTTCTAATCTTGCCCGGCAGCCATGGAGTTTAGCGTTGCAGTTGCTGTGGGCGTGGCCTGCCTCAGGCTGCTGCTCCAATATGGCAGAGCCACGTCGGTGGGGGAACAGGCCGGAGGCTGTTTATCACAGTGAGGGGCCTCTGCGCTGCACTGTGGGGTTTGGGTGCCCAGAGTTCCCCGTGATTCCCAGCTGCTGGGCTAAGTGTCCTCAGGCACTTCCGTCCAGCTGTGGGGTCCCTGTCCCTTTAAGACTTTCAAAAAGCACTCGCTTTTCTTTGTTCCGGGTGCGCCAGCCGCAGGGACCCGCTCACAGGTCTTACTGCCCTGTTTCCCTAGTTTCCAGCACCCCATGCACGTACTGTGTGTCTGTGCTCTGGTGCGGATGGCTGGGGCTGGGTGTTTAGCAGTCCTGGGCTCCCTCTCCCTACCCGCTCTGACTCCTCTCCGCCCGCTGGGAGCTGGGGAGAGGGGTGCTCGGGTCCCGCCGGGCCGCGGCTTTTATCTTACTCCCTTCTCAAGGCGCTGGATTCTCGCGGGTGTGGATGTGGTCTGGCTGTTGTCCTGTCTTCTGGTCTCTCTTTTAGGATTAGTTGTATTTTCAAAAATATATGTGTTTTTGGGAGGAGATTTCCACTGCTCTACTCATGCCACCATCTTGGTTCCCCATCTAAACTGTTTTTAAAAGGCATTTAAAGGACTGGGAAACATGAGTATGTTCTCATAACCCTGTTTTTCTAAAAGAGACGGGCAAGGTTTGAAAATAAAAAAAAGCAGAACGTCTGACCCTCAGTTTCCCCATCTCAAAAAGGATTACCACCAACAAGGCTCAAAATTATTGTGCTATTTTTGAAGATAAACATTGGTCTTCAGCAATGGTGAAGGGCACAAAATAAGCATTTAATTAACAGTTTCCTTCCCCCCACAAAAAAAAACAAAGACTCTCAATCACTATTTGAAGGACCTGGAGGGAGAATGCACAAGTTGAGGCTAACAATCAAAACATACTCCAGGCTTTGTTTCTAAGCCCCACCCCAGAATTCTCGGACATCTCCAATTTTTAGAATTCTAAACAAGATACCTAAATTTCTAACATTGGCCTTTGTTCTCTTTCCTTTTAACAACTTTGATGATGGGTAGATCTTAATTACACATTAGAGGTACCTGTATTTTCTTTAAAAAATGACTTTCTAAATTTGTAATGTTACATCAGGGATAAATACAGGTTTTGCATAATGCTTGTGTTTCATAGTCACAGGGCATTCTACATGTTATGGAATGCATGACTTGAGAAAGCACAAGCATTTAGAAAGAAATTCTTCCTTTATCTTTAACAGTTGAAAAGTCAACTTTACTTGAACATCCATGGCATGTCCCAGTAGCTAAATGGGCAGTCTGACGAAAAGCGAAATCAAAACAGATTTAAAACTTAGAAGCATCAACATTCAACCAGTCAAAACAGAACGTGATTCTTACTTTCGACTTTCACATTACATGAATATGCTAATAAGAAAAGTATTCAAGCATAATTGACAAGCCCAACAATGACCTACAGTCAATTCTAGATCCATTAAGGACAATGGACATTCCGAGTTGTTGGAACAATCTATTCTTGTATGAGAAAAACAGAATGACTGAAATGTAACTTGGAGTTGAACCTTGCATCTTGAAGGAAAAATATGAACATATACTCAGTACGACAAGCCATTTATTTAAGTCACACTTTTCAAAGTTTCCCCCATTTTCCAGATGATGAAAATGATCATGAATCATCAGGTGATATGCTCAGGTTCAAACAGCCATTGATTGATTGGCTGGGGGCAGGACTCCAATTTTGGTACCTCTCAGAAGTTGGTAACTGATGAAGATAGGTAATTGCCCCACTCTCCTATTCTCAATAACGATATTAAGCTTAGCTAGCTAAAGTAGAGAAAGCAGAAAAGCAAAATAGAAAAAAGTTCAAAATCGGCTAATCTGGCTGCTTTTTAGTAGGTTTAAGATAGAAACACATTTTCAAACGATGTAACTATTTCACTTATTCACGTGGATAATTCCGACAGTCTTTTATGTATAGAAGGTCAGAACCACCATCCACTCTTGATGCATTAACACAACGGAGAGTTTAGTTTTGGTTGGCAGGGTGCCTAGCTTCCCAGATCCCAGTACTTCCCTGGCTCTTACCATTATGATCCTAAATTGGGCAACTCAGTTCTCTTACCAGAAGGGCAAGCACCAGTCCACACAACTTAAGAAAGCATGTACCCCGCTGAAACTAGTAAAAGCACAAGAAACTAGTAATGTGATGGTGTGCTAGCTTTGGTGCTGTAGTAGAAAGTGTACTAGTCAGGAATTAGAAGACCACCTTTTCCTGTCTTCAGTACGTATCAGTCACGTCATCTTGAGCAAGTCACAACTCTTTGGGTTGCAGCCAAATCAGCAAAAAGAGGATAATAATTGTGCTTGCCTCACCAAGGGCCGCAAATCTCACCACTTTGTGTCATAAAAATGCTACATAAAGAATTTTTCTAATAAAGTATCAACAGTAATGAAAGTCTGATATTCATATAGGAAATACTAAATTCCACGAACTACATTTTTAAGAGTGGAGAATATTTATAGCACTGAGTTCTGGCCTGATGCACAACCATGACATCCAATGGAGTAATACACTGTTACGAGAACACTGAAGTTTTTCTATGGTAAGCTTAGAAACTGAAAATATTTATAGAGATAGAGAAGTGGGAGGTAACTAAAAAAAATTAAAACAATAAACCTAAATATTAGGTAGGTCTTGCTGTGCTGAAACACCCAACAAAATTTTAAGAGGAAGAAAAAATTGCTTTCAAGAAGATTGACATAAAAATGATCAAGACTGCTAAGAAATTTTCAAGGGGTCTATACTACAAAACACAAGGCTGTAAAGTTGTAATACATTGTACAATTATTACAAGTCTTTTCTCCACATCATAGGATTGCTAGATTTTCATCATTATGGATACCAACTCATTTCTAACAGAACAAAAAAATTTTGAGCAAACATGACTCAAAACTGAATGGGGAAAATTAGATACTACGAAGTCCTATAAATCAGATGAGCCAAGTAAATCATTAGCAGACACCGGGCCAAACTTTCAGTTTGCCTTAAATTCGTTCCAACACCGGACGAGTAGGTAAAAATACAGACCGCTTAGCTATAGCTGTCTGTTTAAAACAATGTAAGATCAAAAGAACTCTAGAAATAAACCCACTCAAAATTTAACCTCATCCTCAACACAAGCCACCTTCTGGACTGTAACCTCTTTGCCCAAACTGCCTAATCAGATGCTACTGAATGACATAAGTAAAATTTAGTCATCTCGAAAAAATTTTGCACGGTTTTTCAACGGGATTTTAAATATCTACAATATATTCACCATACAAAATTTAATTGGTCAAAACTGCAAATAGAAAAAAACGGGTAGAACTTGTGATAGACCTGTGATTCTATTTACCCTCTTAAGCAATGGAATTAACTAAATTCTGAGAGATGGAAAATTAGGCGGACAACTCACGACTGTAATATGCTTATGGAATATTTTTGTACTTCGAGGAAAGAATCACTTTTCACTCTATAAACATGGTTATTTAGGATTTTACCATAGTCCATTGGGATCAAACATCCAAGTGACTTCATCAAAACAGGAACTTGGACCTTTTCACTCGTGTTCCTACTGACTAGTGAAACACAGTAAGAACAAAGCTGTCAACAGCTCTACAGCGATCCAAGGGGAGGCTTTAAAATTTCATGAAAATCCCGAGGTAATTCCATAAACGATTTTTTTTGCTCAGAATGCATGCAATCCTTTTAAAATGGAAGTCCACGGGAGAACGCAGCTGTAACAAGCTACCGCGCGACGCAAAATCTGGTCAGCGAACGCGGCTTTCCCTCCTTTGCCGAACTCGTTGGTGCCGCCAGCCCGCGGTCCCGCGAGGGACGGGGGAGGGGGGAGGGGGCGACGCCAGGCGGGGACAGGAAGCGCCCCGGGAGGCGGCCTCCGGGTCTCGCCGGCCCGCGGGAGCGCCCACCTCTTTCCCCGGTCCAGGGAGCAGAGATAAAATGGCCTCAGGGCGGCGGAAGTGTCCCCGCAGGCGGGAAAGCGGAGCGGCTAACGGAGGCCGGCAGGCCCGGGAGCCCCGAGTCGCCCTCTGAGCTCGGCTCACCCATTCTTGGGCCGGGGCCGCCATGCCTCAGCCCTCGGAACCCGGAGATCCTCGCGGACGCTCCCGCCGGAGGCCCGCACCTACCTCTTCGGACGGAGGCTGCGCCGGCGCCGCCCAGTCACATAGGCCGAGGCCGCGCTGCCCGCTCGCAGCCCAGGCCTCCGGACCGCGCTGCCGCAGGCCCCCGCGCTCCTCCTCCCGCCGCAACCCTGCCGCTCCCCTTTATTTGCGGGTCTCGCTGCCACAAAATGGCGCTGAGGGAGGAAGCGAGGCCCCGACGCCCCACCCCCTTCCCTGCCCCTCCTGACGCCCCGCCCCACGCCGCCAGCGCCGCCAGCCCGAACGCACCGCAGCCGCCGTCCGCTCCTTTCCCCTCCCAGGTTCGCGTCCGGCCCACTCACCGACGAATTGCCTCCCGGTCGCGGCCGCAGCAATCGGCCCGTCACCGGGCCCCGCCGCGGGGAAGAAAGGCGAAAGGACGGCGCCCGATTGGGGCTTCGAGTCGTTGAGGGAGGAGCTGTGCCTCGGCGGCACGCCCTGCGGCCACCGGAGACCTGCCAGCTCCGCGGGGGCGGAGGGAAGCTGGCCGCAGGGAAGGGCGGGCCTTGAGGTCGGAGGTCAACCGCGCGGCATTACGGGAAGGGCGGTGGAGGTCGCTATTGGCGGCGCAAGTGGACCGTCTCCCCGAGCCACCTGCAGCTGCGGCGCGACCTCTGGCGGAGGAATCTGGGCGAATCCAGCGCGTGATTGGTCGCTCTGAGGTCAGCGCTGATTTGGGAAGCTTCCGCGCGCCAGTGGGCCAGGTGCAGCCTCAGCTGTGAGGCTGTGGTTGGCGAGATGGGGACGGATTAGGCTTCGCTGAGCTTTAATGTTAAAATTTGAGGACCTGGAAACCGACGCCGTTTCTGCCGTCGGGAAGTGCAGCTTCCCTCCTGGCCGCCTGGTTCGTCTCCGCCTTGACATGTCGAGACGAAACCGAAGAGCTACTGTTGCCTAGCAGCTGGAGGTTGTGCTATGTCAGCCGCTCTCGGGGCACCTTGCTAACTCACAAAAGAGGGGAAGGCAAACCCCGTGAGATTTTAAGCATTTACTACCGCGATAAAGTAAGTTTTGATATTGGAATATACTCCCTTTAAGCTAGACTGCGTCATGCGGTCGGTCGCATAAGAACGATGGTGTCCCTGGCAAATGAATCGGTATCTCACACTAACTGCAGGGGTCAGGTAGTTCTGTCGCTTGGTCTGCCTGTGTAGGGCTCTACCTAATGTGTTTATCCCCGAAGGAGGTTTCTTTGAATGTGGTAATTTATAGAGATAAGATTTAAATATACTCCAAATGGGGGAGGAGATCATGGTATATTCCCAGTAGATCAGGTCAGGGTGGAGGAAATTTTTGCAGTTTACACCCCAGGAACTCTAAAAAACGGAAAGGAAAACGACCAAAAGCCAAAGAAAAAAATGGGCAAGGAAATGAACAGACAATTCACAGAAAAGAGAAGCAACGGTCCTTAAAAAAAGTTACTCGTCCTCGCTTATAATAGAAATGCACACTGAAATCACAAGTCTCTATAGAAACAGTGCTCATAGGTTTATATCTTGATTGGAATGGGAAATTGATTCAAGACCTGTGGAGTACCAAAATTATATTCATCTATTCTTACATTGTGCAATTCTACTTCTAACCCTAACCTTATTCTGAAAATACATCTCCACAAATAAAAACATGTTGACAAGGTTATTTGTTGTAGTGTTATTGGCCACAACAAACGTTTGGAAATAACTCAAATGTCCTTTTATAGGGAAATGGTGGTGATCAGGCCATATAAGGAATATTACACAGCCATAAAAAAGAATTAGGACAATATTAATATGTTTCTTTGGAATGAGCCCCAGGTTATATGAAAAATTGGAAGGCTATCCTAGAAGCAATAAACATAGTTACCTACAAAGGGTGGAGGGGGAAGAAATAGAAGGAAGACTTCTCTGACTTTGAACTTTTAATTTTAGGTTGCCAAAAAGTAAACTAAGAGGAAACAGTAAACCCAAAGTTGAAAGCAAATTGAAACAAATGAACTTAACTCTAAGTCAAATTGGTAACATAACTATGTTATCCCACAGAAAACGATTATTCCTCCCCATCTTTTGAATAGGGTTCTCTGAAAGTATCTGTGGTGGAATATATTCTAAGAGTGAAAAAGAACTGCAAAGGAGTTTTCATCTTCCTACAGTGGCTTATAATTGATGGTAATATCCTTGTGGTTTTGAGACTACCTGTGTTGTAAGGTAGCAAGTATTTTAACGTTATGATGTACAAGACTTATTGTAAGACAAAATGAGATACGAATGTAAGATCAATGATGGTTCAGGAAAAACCTGTTAAAATTTTAAGTTGGGAATGTCAACTTGGGCACATGATTTTAAAAATAAACTTACTAGCTCTGTGTAGGAAAGGGCCCGGAAGCAGTAGGGTGACCAGTTGTCCCAGTTGGTCAGGGTCTGAGGGGATTCCCCGCGATGCTGGACTTTCAGTGTTATAACTAGAACTGTCCCAGGCAAGCCAGGACGGTTGGTCACTTTACAGTAACAACTAGCACGTTTGCCACCCAGATCATTGTTTCTAAATTCTGTTTGCTACCAATTAGATCCAAAGCTCTTTGGAGAATTGGCTGATTGCAATTCCAGGGCAGGGAAAGTACAAGAGGAGTCAGACATTTTTTTGTGCCTGAATGTAAAAGAAGTGCTTGGCCTAATGATCTGTCAACCACATTTAGAACAACAAGCCAAACTAATGTATAGTGATACAAGTCAGATTCCTGCTTGGTTGGAAGGGAGAAGGGGCAGAAATCAACAGAAAAAGAACATAGGGATCTTTTTAGGCATGATGAAAATATTCTACAGCATGATTGGGTGGTAGTTACCCACGTATATACGTTTGTCAGAACTTAACAAGCTGTACCACGAAAATATATACACTTAATATACAGTATGTCTCATATAATTTGTACGTATACATCATATATATTACACCTTATGTATGTAGATTCTACCTCTAATGTGTGGAAATAAATGAAGACCAACCAAATGAGAAAAGCAAAGGTTCTCTGTTCAGAGATGCTGTAGCAAGAGCCCCCACCACTTGCATTTTGGCAGAGACTCAAAGGCAGCAGAGGGGTGGGGAAGCTTTGCAGTGAGGAAAGGAATGGTTTTAGGTGTCCCATGTAGCTCTTAAATACACGGGGAAGCTGGAGGCGGCCAACTAGAAGAGGGGCATCCAGGTCAGAGCTTAGGGGTGTATATTTCACCTTCTCTGAGTAGTTCTAAGTGGGAAATGGGGACAAAAATTAGGGAAGCTGTCAGTTTTCAATCAAGTCCTGGCCATTTTGAGCTGATTGTTATAGAAGTTATTGTTTCACTTCCTGGATTGCTACTTGTGATAGCAACCTAACTTTCCCCAAGTTTGACCTACAGTAGGCTGGCTGCCAGACTGGCTATTGTAAAGAAGGGGGTTGATTTCCTGGACAGGTTGTTGCAGGTTGTGGGTCAGAATTCCATTTTTATATATGGTCTGGCCATGTCTGTTTATTCAGTCTTCAAAAGTAAAATTTGAAAAGACGTGGAGCCAGCTGAAGGGTATCCCACAGGCCAAACTTAGGTAATTTTAACATAAAAAGAAAATGGCTGTAATTGAATGTAAATACTGAATAGATAAAAATCTGAGACTCTGCAGCTTTGCTTGATGAGAGGAAGGGGGCACTATTTTTCCATGATTGGAAATGATACTTCAACTTGTAACTCTGAAAATTAGTTATTAAAGGGCAAATTTTGCCCTGCCTTAAAAGGAGAGTGATAGTTCATTCTTGAATTGATGAGGAAAAACTCTTTTCATAAAATGTGGAAAAATGAGCAAAGAATGTAGGATTATCAGTGGACTTGGAAGCAGGAGTATTCATGTGGTGCCAAAATATCACTCCACAGGTTCCTTATCTAATAGTAAAGGGAATTACTTGTATTGTGGTGTTATCCGGTGGTCATCACCTGAACCAAATGATCAAATTTAGAATCTGTAATAGTGTGACAATCTTCAATTCACAGAAAATACAGGAGAAAGCAGAGTAGTGCAAATCTAACAATACTATCAGAATTAATTATTCCTCCCCAAAACTTTATGCAACTATAAGCAATATGTATATATATATTTTTTTATTAATTTTTTATTTTTTGGTATAATTAATCTACTGTTACATGAGGAACATTATGTTTACTAGACTCCCCCCATCACCAAGTCTCCCCCACAGACCCCATTACAGTCACTGTCCATCAGCATAGTAAAATTAAGCAATATATTTTTATGGAGCACCTGTTAGGTCTGGCATCATCCCCAGAATCAATATCCACCCAGCTTCAAACAATTTCAAATGAGATGTCAAAGTATGATAAAAGCTACAGACATACTACTGTTTTAAGTAGCACATACTATTGAGTTAGATTGATGTTATGTAAATTGTCCACTTCTTTCCCACCAGCCCACTACTTAGCTTGTAATCTATATTCCTACTAATTTGATTTAGGGAATCACCTAACAAAATATTAATAGGGAGACTAGAGGAAAAAATAAAAGGGCATTTGCAGCAAGTCTACTGTTTATCATTGGCAACCAAGAGGTGCAGGGAGCCTGGAGATGGGCAGAATTGGTGGCTGAAGACTTTTGGTAGAGATATGAATGCTCTCCTGAGCACAGAGCTGGTGTGGCCGTGACCCTGAGCTTGTCGTGCTTTTCCATGCGTCAGGACCTTTCTTGGTCCATCTTTTCTGTCTGAGATGCTCTTTCTACTCTTCTTCACCAGGTTATCTCTTATTCCTCATTAGCAATTAGCTTTAGAGACATTATTTATTTAGATTATTACATGTCAAACATAGAGATTTGTGGTTTTACAGCTATGGGAGTTTAACCAAGCTCCTAGACTAATGGTCCCTTTCTAAATGAATGGGTTTTGCATTGACTTTTTAACAAAATTTTTCTGTGAGCAATATAACAACACAATATATCTTTCAGATTTAGTTAACATTTACATTTTTTACCTGTAGTTAAAGCTAATGAACAGTCTTAATTTTCTTTGCAGACCACAAGAACTCCACTGGCACTCTAAAATTTTTAAAAATATAATTAGATTTCTATCATAATTTTTATTGGTACTATTTTTTTAATTCTATGTCATTGTACCTATCTCTTTGAACATAATACTGAATAATTTTTCAGACTTGGTTTCCTTGTATTGTTTTGAATCAATGTATTTGTCATAAACCCAAGAAACATTTACTAATTACTTGCCGCACTGTACTAAGTGCAGAATCTACAAAAATGATTTTATCCCCCTGCAGTTGGGTTTTAATCATTTGGGAGCAGAGATAATAGAAATGTGGGGAACCTAGAGTCAATTGTTCTTGGAAACAGCCTTGTCCAGTTACTGGGAAATCCCTTCATTCAGGAAAACATAAAGGCAGCCCTTGGAGAAAATTTCCCTGTCTGAGCTCTGTGATGTTTTTCCTTGTCACCCATTCAGGGCAAATAATAGCACTTTCTGAAAAGGATTCAGTGTGTCAGCATGATTAAACATTACTGTATTCCTTCCAGCTTCTACCAGGGTACCATGGTCTGTACCCCTGGGAGCCATGTTCTTCTTGCTGATGGGCCCCTGATTATGTCTGAATCATAACATCTTCAGCCTGGGGGGTGAATTATGCCTAGTATGAGCCAGTGTTTCTCAACATGAAGCTATTGGTATTTTGGGTAGGAGGAATCTTTGTGTGTGTGAAGTTTTCTGTGCCGTTTAGGACATTGTGCATCCCTAGACCAATCAAATAACACCTCTATTTGTGTGACAACTGAAAATGCCCTCTGTATATTTCCAATAACCCTGGACGTGCAGGATGCCTCTGATGAGAACCTCTGGTCAATTGTGGGTTTTGTGGTCATCTTTACCAAACAGTGATGCCCAGTCTTCTTGCAACAGAATTGGCCAGGTCACCACTTGTGGTCAGGACCAGAGGAAATCTCCTAGGGCTTCTGAGAAAGATTTTCCTCTCTGAGAAGAAAGATGTATACAAGAAGAAAGTGCTGTCTCCCCTCCCTTCCTTCTTGTTGCTTAATGGGCTGGGAGAGGCTTGTAACCTAGGAGCCATCTTATGACCATGAAGCCCCAAGTGGGGAGACAGGCCAGCCTGGTGAGAATGCAGAGCAGAGGTGGGAAGTCCCGGATCCCGGATGACATTGTCAAGCTTCCAGACCAACCCAGGGACTGGCAGTTGTTGGGCTTTTTATGACATTAATGTCCTTGTATTTTAGCCCACTGTCCATCAGGATTCCTGTTACTCATCACCAAACACAATTTGACTTACACAGTTAGAGGAAAGGGGCATTTACCTGATAAACAAGTTACAGAAAATAGAATGATACCAGCAAAGCTAGGTTTTTCTCAGGAAAAAATAAATAAAACAATTCACCTGCAGAGAGTTGAATATTTAGTATCAAGATATGAACCTTTACTGAACCCACACATCAAAATAATTATTCTTCCTGTGCTACTTGGCTTTACTGTTGTTTTTACATTATGTGTGATTATAGCCTTCATTGTTTAGTGGTGTGATAAAGCAGAAATTTAAATACCATTATTCACTTGCAGAAAGTCAAACTTTATAAGACATGGACCTAGCTGCATTAAAAATGTAAGGGGTTCAGAGAATCTTTCTTTCAGAATTTTTTGAAATACTATTCTGTTTTTCCCTGGTTCTTTTGTGTTTAACCTGTGGGCCCAACAGGCCAGTTCTGCTGGGTTGAGCACTCAGGGAAACCTCTTCTACTTTTTAAAAAGCTCTTCTTTATTCCCCACCAATTAAAGACACATTAGCTCAGGAGACAGTCCATCCAGTGCCTGCCTCACCCTTGACAAATTGCAGATCTGTGCTTGTGCCACAGATGAGTACTGGCAGTTCTCATCATGCTGACCTCCTGCTGCAGACATCTGTTAGGAACAGCATAGGATGATTTTCACTTCTTTTTCCTGCCTCGTAACCTCCTGAACATGTTCTTCTGTGAAATGTTCATAGAGATGAGAGGGTCTCATCTGTGTCCAATACTGCCCAGCAAGTCCAGGTGTTCATCTTGTCTCATGAATCATTGTAATGGCCTCTTGGTTGGTCCCCTACCATCCACCAAAACCATCTTCCATCCAGCAAGCAAGCCCTTTCCTAACCCAGTTCTGAGAAATTTCCACTTGTGGGGAAAGGGAGTAGACATACTGTTCCATGTTCTCCTTGCTAAGCAGAACTGGGAAGTCTGGGCATTATATACAAAATAAGCACAAGAGGGCACACTGGCTAGGGATGTCAGGACCCAAGGACAACACTTGGCTAAGTTCCTGAGCTTTCTTTTTACTTCATAAATCCCAGAAGCAGGTAATCTGGAAACACCAACAGGCACAGACAAAACATGACCCCCAAGGAAAGCCTGATTCCTGTAACCACAAGACTATGGAAGGGGCAGCCCAGCAGGGCAGAAAACATTTAGACAGCAACCACTCTCTCCAGCCAACACTCCCCCCATCCACACCAGCACAGGCTTCCCATCAAAAGGACCAGGGAACCAGGATGTGGTAAGTTGGGAAGACACCGGAGGAGGATTATTTCACAACCTGGGCACTCATCATCAGAGCTATCTGGTACACCCTTTCAACAGATTGCACAAGAGGAGGCACTTAATAGTATTCTGGGAAAGAACACCACCTAGTGAGGAAACAAAAGCTAAATGCTGTGCTTCCAGTCCTGGGGTCAAAGTCAAGTCAGTGTGGAGTCTTGGAAGGCAGTCACCCAGGTCCACCCTAGGGAGGGAAGTGAGGAGGGGGCTGTACAGTCTGGAGAAGGCACTGATGAGGCCCAAATGGAATGTATTAGAATGTTCCAGATGAAAGCCAGGCTTATCCCACTTGAGGAGGGGAAAGTCTCTATGAGACTTGTCACCCAGTGGGGGACTCAGGGAAATCCGAGGATGTCCTGAGTTTTTGAGGAGGAAAAAGAATAGGGGAAGTATAAACAGAGAGATGGGAAATGATAGCTAATACTTGGCTGAGTGCTTTATGTCGTGTTCTTAGCCCTCACAGCCAGACATTTAGGCTCGTGTTAGTCCTGTTTGACACCTGGGACAGGTGAGGCACAGAGAGGTTAAATAACAGCACAGAGGAGTAAAGCCTCAGTTGGGATGAAATTAAGCTAATTGCAGAGTCTTGTCTCAAACACACAACAAGCTTCCCTCAGGCACATGTGCGAAAATTGAAATTAGCAAAATAGTGGTACAACTACTGCAGAGAAGTGATTTAAAGTGTGGTTAATATCATCAGCCTGATAGGATAAATGTAAGTATCTCTTTTTGGGGACACCCTTATTTTATGCCTGTAGACCCTTAAGCCAAATAACAAAGTCTCCCTCTCAGTAGGAGAAACCATGGAAACAGTGGAAGTGGATGTCATTCTTGCTCCCTAGGAAGTAAAAGCTTAATAGAGCTGAGGAATCCAACGAGTTTGAGTAGTGTTTCTGCCCCAGAGGAATAGCCAAATGGCAATGAGGGCAGATGTGGGTAGGAGGCAAGCTGAAAGGGCTGCAGTGGCCACAGGGTCCTCCTTAATAAGGAAAACTGGGCCGTCCAAGGCCATGTCCAGAAAGCGTGGAAACATTAGGTGTGTCAAGGCAAACAAATGTTTCCAGAGGCTGGTTCTCTGAGCAGGGCTCAATGTTAAGGGAGCCCTGGAGGGGAAGCTGTTGTGGTTATATTCCAAGTAGGATCCCAGGAGGAAGCCCAGATGCAGTGAAGAGTACTTAGCCCTAGAAGGACTGTGAGGGCCTGAAAGTGTTCCCAGGCCTCAGACATTGAAACCAGGGAATGAACAAGATATAGAGGATAAATGCAGCAATAAGTGTGCTTGTTCTGTATAGGAATCTTACTAGAAGGCATTAAAAAGATAATACTAAGTGGCTAAAATTTAATAATACATGTGGAGGGGTAAACAAATATTTAATAATAAATGTGGCCATGTGCTAAGTTTCTGAATTTTTTAAGGATAAACCAATGCAGGGATTTGACCTAGGTTATTTTCCCAAAATCCACTATGTATATGGCTTCAGCCTTGGCTTTTGAAAAGCTGGAGTCGAGTGTTTGCTTCCTGTCACTTGGGCCGTCCCTGATCTTGTGCTGGACAAGCGATTGTGAAACAACTTTGTTTACTCCCATGTCCAACAGGGTAACGTTAGTCATATGAGCAAGGCATCCTGCTCAGAGTATTTTCAATAGACAGTCACTAGATGGAGCATGAGGTGGAATCTTGGGTTCTGTGTTCATTGAAATTCTTTCAGTTACTTGTATAAATATATGTTCTTTATGTAAGAACTTTAAAAGAGCTAAGGACATCTCTCTTATTCTATTTAATATCATTATTTAAATTCTCAAACATCTATTGACTCAATATAATGGTACTCTTAAAGCTGTCTATATAATGTTTAGTGTTCTCATTAACTTTCAACCTATCTTCAAATGTTTTTAGCATCTTAAAAAGTTCTTAGGGATTATCTTTGTAGACAAATTCATTATTAAAATTGATTTTCACACTTACCACTAAATATGGGATTTGACCATTGAAATATTGAATATACTCTTATATTTCAACTGATAATGGCAGTTGTCATGAGGTACAACAATGACCTCAGCAGTAATCTTGCAGCTCAGAATTATATCAAGAAATTGTAATTAACTTAACTTTAAACTACTAGTACTATTTTAACAGAATAATTTTATTTATTTTGAATAAAACTTCAGATATATTCTGGAATTTCAAAAGTACCATCCTATGATGATGCTGTTTGACCAAATATTGATCATAATGATCGGCCATTAAGCATTCAGCTAAAGTGTACATTTATTACATTTCTAAATTTTTAGAAAGTGACTAATAGAATTATATCATCACATTTCTTGGAATCTATGAATATGAATTTACATTTTAACATTTATTACAATTACCAGTTATAGAGTTCTTACATATATATTCTACTATATATGTGTGTGTATATGTATATGGTACATGGTCTTATATTATATGGTCCCACTTTTCTTGCAGGCAGATGTGGCCATGTGGCTGCGTTCCAGATGCTGGTGTGTTGGCAGAATGGAGACATGGCATTTCCAGGCTGTACCATGACAGCCTTTCTCACTCTCTTCCCTTCTGCCAGCTGATGAAGAGGAAGGCAGGGGGTGAGTCCCCTGGGCTATGATGGCAGTATAAGCCCTGAAGGAAGTAGTTACGTGGCAGCTGGTCTTAATCTTAACCAATACTCTTCTAAAGGAACTCCAAGGAACTCTTGAAAACAACTCAGGAAGTCATAAATGTCTAGAAGAATTTAAATTGTAACTTTGCATATTGCTTTCTAAATTAGTGGTCACATTTGGCCTGACTGGGGATGGGGGTTCCAAAGATGGTGACATGAGCACGGGTTCTCTTTAAAATCCTCACCAAAATGACCTATGGGACAGGCTCAAGGGGAAGAAAAAGCCACGTTAGCTGGAAATCTGGAGTGCCACTCAAGCACTGGACGTATGGGAGAATTTCTGGTAAGACACAATATTGATGTGTTACTGTCATATTGAGTAACAGTGACCGTGAGATGTGATCATCAAGTGACTTCCCTTTGTCACACACTGTGTCATTACATTGGTCTGTGAGCTTGTTTTTTTCTTTGCCCCTGGACCAAACAGCTGGTCCCATGACCTTTTCTTTCTTTTTAACTATTAGGTAATTACAAGTTATGTAGTTAGTTCAAGTCAGTGCAGAGGCTCACTCTTAAATGCCCAGTCCTATGTAATAAAACTCTTACACTGATTTAAAGTGGAGACTTCCCCTCCTTCAGTGCAGGTCTATAGCAAGCTGGCCACAGACAGTAGGAGAAAGAGGTGGGAAGCTGGGTGACATCTTCTAAGTTCCTGTCTTGTTCTTCTGCTCCTTCTTTTTTAGCATAAAATCATGGTTTTTGACCTCTCCAGGGATTAATCTGCAGGAGGTGTGGTGCTAGGGTTCAGGGTGGTGGAGTACAGGAGCATGTCGAGGGATCGTAGTTGATGACTACTGTCTTGCCTGGCAGTTGTTTAAAGCAGATTCTTTCTCTTGTGGTTTTGGAGGCCACCCCATCCCCGTGGATTTCTCACCTAGACTTCAGTCTAGAAACTGAGAGAGTATATTGTGTTCCAGGGAAACATAAGAAAAAAAAACCCGAACCTCTGCCTTGGACTCGAAAAGTTTACACTGAACTGGAAACACAAGTAGGCCAACTGAAAGTCAAATTTTAATGAAAATAGACATCACATCCAAGGACCAGATATTTAGACACAACTTCCAAAGTGAGCTCACAGGGATACTTGATCTTCATTTAGCACTAAGAGATTAAGTCTTCTTATTCCATGTGATCAAAACAGTTGGAGTCAGAGTAAAATGTCACATGCTTACCTTAACAGTATATTTTCACTTAAAACATGCAAACACATATGCATTCAATACTTTACAGATAAAGAGCCAGAAAATATTGGGGCTACCCATCACCACACTCATAGTGCACTGTCTGTGATTTCTGTTTTCAGCCTCAATGTCTGTAGCGGAGTGGGCGCTTAGAGACAGCTGTACAGCAATTGGCTCCTTTAACTGTTCGCTGAGCTTCCCAACCTTAGATGTTTGTTTTATCCACGTCTAATGGAACAGCAATTATTTTCGTTGAACTTTTACAAAGCATTTGATTTTTGTTTTCATAAAAATAACTTGCTTTTCGTGCTGATTTTATTAGTATTATTTATTTTTTTATTAAGCTATCATTGATACACAATCTTATGAAGGTTTCACATGAGCAACATTGTGGTTACAACATTCACCCATATTATCGAGTCCCCACACACAAACCATTTCGCACTCAATTTATTAGTTCACATAATTTCAATAACTAGTAAATAAATAAAACTAGCCATAAATCTGTTTGGGAGCAAACCCCCTTGACTCTTGGTAAGTATACAACTCAACTGTTGGGGGCAGTAGTGAGTGATCTGGCCCCGATCACTCAGGGCTATGGGCAGCTTGGCAGCAAGCTCTGCAGAGGAACAGAAGGGTGCCCGTTAATCTGGGAAATTGTTGAAGTGGACTGTGTACTAAGAAGCGTCTACCACATTTATTCTGCTTGGAATAGCATGATATCATGGAAAGAGCATGGCCCTGGGGTTTAAACAGAGCTAGGTTTAAATCTTAAATTATTTTTTTCTAGCTCAGTGACTTAGGGAAAATTACTTAATCTTTCTGAATCTCAACTTCTTTATTTGTAAAACTTGGTAACTATTCATGAGAATTAAAACCAAATAGTGAAGATTCTAACATCTAGTTGGTCAATAAACAATAGCTGTTAATATTATTATCATTATTATTGTGTGTGGTTGTTTTCCTGCTGGTCTTCCCCCAGTTAAAAATCTGGTTCTCTGTCCTGTTTCCCTCTTCACACAATACCCCAGTTTTTTGCACACAGCTGTTCAAATAATGCCTGCCAAATGACATTAGTAATTTTTCACAACTGCATTCACCCTTTTAACTCAGAAACTTGTGAGTGATGCTGTACATGTCTTTTTCTTTCTTCTTTTTTTTTTCAGGCACACAAATTCTTTTCCAGATTGTTGTCATCCTTCTGCCTAACTTGGCTCTAATACACTGATTTTTAACCAACTATTTTTTAAAATAGTAGAACCTAAGAACCTCTGTTCTTTCTTAGACATTGTCTTCCTACTAATGAGGTCTTCAGACCAAGCTTCAGGCCAGGACTGTATTGAGGCAGAGAAAAAAGTGAACTTGAGGGAGCTGGGGAATCAAGCAAACTCCACAGGCGAGGAGTGAACTAGGCCCAATGCATCTCCTGCCTGGCATCTCAAGGTGGGGCTTATACACCTCAGGCTTTCTTGGCCCCTCTGGCCCCTCATTGTACTCCTCAGCTTTGCCTCCCATGGTCTGGCATCTTTTGCCGACAACTCATTTGGTTTGACGTTTTCATAATTGTTGTACCTCTAAGACAGTGGTTCTCAATCAGGGGTGATTTAGCCCCAGGGGACTTTTGGCAATATTGAGACATTTTTGGTTGTCATACCTGGAGGTGGGTGAGTGCTGCTGGCATCTAGTGGCAGAGGCCAGGGAAGCAGATAAAAGTCCTATAATACAGAGGACAGTCCCTGTAACAGTGTTGTCTCATCCAAAGTGTCAACAGTACTGAGGTTGAGCAACCCTGCTTTTGGGGTTCTGGCCTTTGACCCCAGACTCCAATTTTGGGTAACCCCAGGCCTTCCTGTCAACACTCCCAGATACCACTGTCGTTCCTGGGCGACAGGCTCTCCAAATCTGGGACAAAGCTCTTAAATGAATGGCTGGTTCTACACCCAACTCATAACAGACTTAGCACCCAGAGGACAGTGAGTGCGTCATTGTTCAATGAATAACAATAGGACATAAAGGGTAAAGCTCCATTTGAAGCCCTTTCTCCTCCATCCTTCAACTCCAGCTAATGGAGTCACCTGCTACTAAAAGCAAGGTTATGAATTCCTCAAAGCCTGGCTTAAAGGTGGACAGGCTCATGTTCTGGACAGGCTCTGCGGGTTTGACAGCTTTTCCCATTGAGAAATGTAGAAGGAGGACTGGGGAGAAATAAGAGCTGCCTTAGGTTTTCACAGAGTGCTGGGCTTGATCCTTCCCACTTTGTTCCCTTGGAGAAAGAAAGTCGCAGGAACTATGCACCCAAGCTGGGGGTGAACTCAGATACCGCTGCCCACCTTTCATCAGAGCATTTCTGAAGGTTGGAGGCACCAGTTGGTCTTAAAGGGTGAGCAAGCACGAACCGGGCTGCTCTGGTGGCCACACGACTGATCAAAGGAACATTCACCCAGAAAAGGGGCAGGGGGGCAAACAGAGGCATGGGCACACCTGGGCGGGGTCAGGGGTCTATGAGACAGAGAACCAGTTGGGGGGAGAGTGGAGTTGAACCAGACATGTCACCTGTACAAAAACTCCCACATATGGGGCTGCGGGGTGTAAAAAGTGAAATGGAGCCAGACCGAGACAGAACATACCTCTTCTCTCTCAGCCCCTAACTGCGACTGGAGCTGGTGTCATACCACCTGGGCCCAGATGGCACCAAAGAAGGAGCGCTGAGAAGAGCCATCTTTCCTGAATGCAGACCCCTTCTCCTCCCTGCAGGTGGGGCCCAGGAAGTCCTCAGCCCAGGCGGGCAGGGAGGGGAGGGCAGTGCACGAAGGAGAATCCCAGGTGGGGAGGAGGCCCTGTGATTGCTGACATTGTGATAACCAGACTGGGTTGTAGAAATGGTGGTACTGCTTTATTTGTCAGCTTGGGCTGCCATGGCAAAATACCACAGGCTGGGCAACTTCAGCAGACATTTGTTTTCTCATAGTTCGGGAGGCTGGACATCTGGGTCCAAGGTTGGCAGGACTGGATTCTCCATAGGTCTCTCTCGGTGTCCCACGGCTGCCTTCCTGCTATGGCCTCACATGGTCACCCCTTGACTCGGCCTGTGTGTCTGTTTTAAGGACACCTCTTCTTGTAAGGACACCAGTCACACTGGTTTAGGGCCTACTTAAATGCTCTCATTTTGCTTTAATTACCTTTTTTAAAGGCCCTGTCTCCTTTCTAAAGTCATATTATGAGGTACTGGAGGTTAGGACTTCAACATATGAATTTTGGGGATACACTATAGCCCATAACAACTGGATTCATTCTAAACTGGTCTGGGACAAAACTAAGATGTCTGCACAAGGGAGATTGGAGTGTCCAGGTCAGCAGTGAGATTAAGAGAGCTTCTGGTTTGTGTATACCACTGAAAGGCCACTCTTCAAACCCAACACAAGAATAATTGATCAGCCTTCTTCATAATTAATCAGAGTATCTTGCATTAACAGAGCTGACTGGTTCCTTAAACTAAATACATATTCTTAGGGTGAAAACACTTACAGACTTATTTTACATGCTTTTATCCAATTTATCGCCAAAGGGCCAGTACAGATATCAGCCAACACCAGAAAAGAGTGATACAGGCCAGGATGGGTAGTGTTCTGGGACATGCCTGAGGTGGCTGGCACACAATGCCCATTGTGTTCCCAGTGGACCCAGTTCTGGCATGAACATCCAAGGTGTATGAGGCCCTGCTCCTGCACACCTGCTCTGTTCCTCGGAGTGGACCTCATGGTGTGGGCTGCAGCCCCTGGCATATGCTGGCCAGGAGATGGAGCTACCCCAGGTCCTTATGCATGGCCACTGCCCTGAGAGGTCTGGGTCTTTTCATCTCAGGTCACTCTTAAGATGTGTTCTTAGAACCGTCCCTATGAATTTAATCTTGTTCCATGATAAATCCTAGGACATGAATTGGATTTGGGGGTATGGTGGCTGACAGGTCCCCCCACCCCTTACACAGATCATGTTTTTTGCACTGGTTGTGTTTTTTATCTAGCGTGTTGGTTAATTTTCTATGTCAGTTTAAAGGGTGTTTTTGGATGAGATTAACAGTTAAACTGGTGAATTTGGGGTAAAGCAGCTTGCCCTCCATAATGTGGGTGGGCCTCATTCAGTCAGCCGAAGGCCTAAATAGAACAAACACTGATCTCCCCCAGGCGAGCAGGCATTTTCCATTAGATTGACTTTGTGCTGGATGTGCGCCATTGGCCCCCCCGGGTCTCCAGCCTTGGGGTTCACACTGCGGTTTTTGAACTTGCCAGCCTCCATGAATGCATGAGCCAGTTCCTTATAAGACATCTCTTTCTCTCCATATATACACTTATTGGTTCTGTTTCTCTGGAGAACCCTAATACACTTGGAGCAGTGAGTTGGTGGGTTGTTCATTCCCCTAAAGGGGCAGATGTTGCATAGTTTTTGTGGAGGGATCTGCTGGAGTCTAAATATGGGACAACCTGTCTCTTCACTTTTCCTCTATTTGCTTCCAGTTTTCCAAGTTTATGTTCTGCAAGTCTGCTTCTCTCCATAGACTAGGGTGGGAAAAGTCAGGGGGTTGGTGCCAAGGGAAGCTCCAGAGAGCTGGGTCTTCACTGAAGCTAAGAAGCAAATGTGACTGAAGGGGCAAATGGCCCAACGTGAAAACTGAGTCTCAGTGTGAAGCTCCAGGTCCAAGGGTTTTGACCTGAATTGTACATAAGAGATGAGGCCAGAGATCAGTAGTACCTGAGAAGACAGGAGTAAGTTGGGAAGCAGCACAGGAGGGGGAAGTTTCAAAACTTGGGCTATGCACAAACAAGATAGGGTTGAGCCAATTTTATTGGGTGCAATGAATTTGGAAGCTGTTGTGGTAACCACTCACAGACACAGAGTTATATCAATGTTGAAAGAGAAGTACATTCAAAGGCCTACTGTACTACTTACCTGCTCTGTGTATGACCTTGGTCAAGTCAATTTTTGCTCAAAAGAGGAATAACGAGCCACTTCACAGAGATGTTGTATGAATTAAGAGACAGTGTAGAGCGTTTTACCTAGTACTTACCACATGTTGAGGATCTGCTCAGTAAGGTTGGTTCCCTCTCCCTCTATGGATACAACTCGCCACACATTTTGTTCAATAACACACTTCCATTCTGAGCCAAGCTTCCCCTTTCCTTTCCAGAAGTTAATGTGTTCTTTGAGGACACAATCTAATTATAATTAGTCTGGAAATGGGGTATGTGGGGTAGGGGGAAGCTAACTTTGAAACCTTTGTTAATGATACCATATCTCTATCATCATTTTCTCTTTTAGCTTGGACCACTGATTTCATTTTAGCAATTAAGTACTACTCTTGGTCCTATTAACAATCCCAGTTATGCAAAGGGTAAGTGGTATAGCAGTTCTTACTTAGATTCCTGCCTGGGTAAGATCAGTGATAAAGAGTGAAAAGGAAAAGAAAAACAAGAGAATGCCGCTGAGGTTGTTCCATAGTGGTCACAGTTCACATCCAACCATGTAGAAACAGTGCAGAAGGATATGTTGCAAAGATTGCTATTTTCCAATCCATTACTCATTTTTCCATTAGTCACAGAATTCTGTTTTTTTCAGACTGGAAATGTGCAGTTAAATGACTATGTTTCCCAACCTCCTCTATAGCTAGGTGTAGCCTTGTACCTAAATTCCTGGGTGAATCTTCCACAATGGATCCTTAAAAGGGGAACAGTTGGGGCCCAAACTTTTGTCCTTCCCTCTGCATGGAAAGGAGATGAGGTGACTGGTGCTGTAGAAGCCATAATGGATCATGAGGCAACTCAGAGGACAGAGGAGCCTGGGTCCTTAAGATTTCACGCCTCTGTCATCCCGGCCCTGGACTACCTACTCCAGATCTCTTTTACTTGAGGGAATACACCCTCTGTCTCTGAGACACTGTGGCTGGACCCC